TGCTTGTGCTAATTTACGCTCACTGTCAGGGTGCAGCAGGGCCACCCAAAGCGCGGGCCGGGAGCTGTTGCGGCTGGCCTGCAGGGAGGTAGGTCCAGAAACGGAGTGAGCTTCTGGAAACGTGTATGGAGATGAGGGTGGTGAGGAACAGACATGGGGTCCGCAGCCGCGTCTGAGGGGTGCGTCAGTGCAGACAGCAAGCCGAGGCACAGCGCAGGCGCTCCGCTAGCCGTGCTCAGAGGGACCGTGTGGGGTCTGCACTGGAAGTGTAACAGAGGAAAGAACGGCGGTCCTTCGCCACTGGTGTGGGAGAACTCTGGGGCTCCACAGCCTTGTGACCCCTGGCAGTGTGCATTTCAGCCTTTCCGGTGGCTGTCCAGGCGTGTGGCATTGGGGTTCTCATTTCATTTTTCCAATAATGAAGGACGTCGTCCACTTTTCACGACTACTGATCGTCGGGGTATCCCGTTCTTGTGAAGTACCTTTTCCAGTCCTCTGCCACGTTTAAGGTGTACGGTTTTCCATTTTCCTAAAACATTTGACGTGGGTCCTTTACTTTCTCCCCCAACCCCCATTCCTATGAGGCAGAAGGCGAGTGGACTATGAGGAGGACAAAAGCCCTGATTCAAAAATAAGATTCATCTGCCCTGGCCGGTTTGGCTCAGTGGTTAGAGCATCCGCCTGCAGTCCGGAGAGACCCAGGTTCGGTTCCCGCTAAGGGCACGTACCTCGGTTGCAGTTTGTCCCTGGCCCTGGTTGGTCGTGCGGGTGGCAGCCACTCGATGTGTTCCTTTCATATCGATGTTTCCCTCTCTCTCTCTCTTCCTCTCTCTCCCTCCCGCTCTATCTGTGCAAAAAATGGAAAAATGTCCTCGGGTGAGGATAAAAAAAAAAAAAAAAAAAAATAAGATTCATCTGAGTTCATTCATTCAGCTAATGTTGGTGAGAATCTACCGTGCCCCAGAGCTGGGGGTCACAATGGGAAGCAGCAGTGAACAAAATAACAGCACCCCTGCCCTTGAGGACTTACGCTCTAGTGGGGAGAAGATCAACAGTAGGCTGATGACTTTGGATGGAGATCAGGGCTACGAAAAACAAAAAATATCGGGTAACAAGGGAATAACTGGGCTGGGGGGATACTTCGACTAGCAGTGAGAAAAGATTTTTCTAAAGAAATTATAGTTAAGCCTGCATCAGAATAAGAGGAGGTAGCCATTTAACAGTCATGGGGAAGAGCATTCCAGGAAGAGACAATGTCAGGTGCAAAGGTCCTGAGGTAGAAACAAGTTGGTCTGCGTATCACTAAGAGAGTATGTATTCTCTTATTTGGATCAACACTAATATAATAGATGCCAGGTGCGGCTTCCAGATCCCAACTGCTCATATTTCTATGTCCCTCTCGGGCATTTAATGTGGGTTCACTGCCCAGACTTGTGACAGGAATGAGTCTTTGAGAGACTGACCTTGGGTTACTAGAGCACCTCTGCCCACACAGGTTGGGAATAGGAAGTATCTGGGGGTTACAGTCCCCCTTCCTCACCCCCAGCAGCCCTGGTCCAGCGGTTGAAGGATCCAGCTCCCACGCCTGGGGTTGGGGGCAAACTCAGGGCGGGTTCGGGCTCAGAGAGTCGAGGGGGGCGGTCAGGCTGCAGCTGAGACTTAGCAGAAGGTACCTCCAGCTGTCTTCCCCCATGCCTTGTACATTTCTCCCGGGAGCGCTTCCTTCCTAAATCGATTGCCCCCGAATTCTCATCCAAGGGTGTGCTTTTAGGGAACCCAACTTAAGACTGATAGGTTGTCACGACGGCTTTTCTTCCTCCTTTACGAGCGTGTCTCTCCGTGGCACAAAGTGACCCTGTGAGCTCTGAAGGCCAGAGAACCCGAGCGGCTCCCCCTCCCCCCGCCAGCAGTACCCTTGGGCAGGGGGCCCACTCTCCCTGGGCTTACCCCTCAGTCACAGGTCCACCGGGGAGGAGTGCATCTTGTACGGCAGCTGTGACAATTCAGTGAGAGAATGTAGACGAAACACAGCAGAGAGACCAGAGTCAGCACTCAGACTCAGGGATGTGCCCAAACCTTGCAAACCTGTCCAAGGGGCCGTCAGAGGTCGCCAGCCCTGAGGGATGTATCTTTTGTGCCCCTGAGAAAATGCTCTGTGTCACCGGGGTTTGGCTGGGGCCAGGGGTGGGGCCTTGCTGGGGCCTTGCTGGGACCTGCCAGGTGCCTCTGACGGGCACCCTTTCATTTACTCCTAAGCAGCCTCTGGCAAGAATAGAAGGTTCTATTATAATTTTTGTAAAGATAAGAGCCGAATATTTAGGAAGGCTAAGCCGCCTAGGGACACATGGTGTGTGAGCTGGGGTTCCAAGGCAGACCTGTCTGGACAGAGCCCCGGCCCTTGGGCTCAGGGCTCTGTACTCCTGGGACCTGGGGGAAGAGCAGCCAGGTGTCCCTCATTCAGCGGGAGGTCCAGTCCCAGCTGAGCCGCCTCCCACTAGGCCCAGCCTCTGGATGCTGAAGCTCCTCCCCGGGCAGGGCTCCAGGGTCCGAAATGCCCTGTGTGATACTCTCCAGCTTGCTGGGGCAGAGTCGTCTGCAGCCCCCCAGCTAGCCCTGCAGCTGAGGGTCTGGGTCACACCAGCATCCACGCTGCCTCGTTCCAACCGCTCACTAAACGCCGCAGACTGGCCGCTGGTCCAGGCCCTCCAGGGTCCCAGAGCCTCTCCAGGGGAGGCGGGGTTTGGGCAGGGGCTGAGCCAGGCGGCAGCCTGCACGCAGATCTGATGGGTGGGGCAGCCTGCGCCTCAAATCCCAGGCGGCTCACAGACCGCGGGGCCCGGCTGGAAACCCTCCGCCCTCACGCTAAGGTCCAGCGCCCGCAGAGGCCGCAGGGAGCGGGGAGCGAGTGCCCAGTGGGCTGGGTCAGCGGCCTCTGCCTTCGAAGAGTTTCCTACGGGGTGGCCAAGCTCACGCCTCCTGAGCTAACCAGGGGTGCGACCCTCCCCACAAGTGCAATGCATCCAAAAGCTGGGGTAGAGTGCCCAACCGTCCCAGAGACATGCCAGGTCCTGGGGCGATGGCATCTTGCACCCTTAAAGAGCAACGCTTACTTCCCCTCTCATTGCCCCCAGGGCTGGGTTCCGGGCGGCTGGGGTGGGGACACCCCGGCCGAAGCGGCCCGGGTGCTGCAGGCCGCCTCCCAGGGCGCAGGGCCGAGCGGCTCCCCCCGCTGCTGCGCGTCCGGCTCAGGCGCTCCCTGCACCCAGCAGGCGGCCCCCGGGGAGGGAGGGCCCCACAGCGAAGGAACTGAACTGGGTTCTGTTTTTACAACGGCTTTGCATGTTCCTTCCTCCAGGGTTAGCAGTGCATCCTGTTGCGGACCTCTCGTCAATGCGCGTTTCTTTTGGAGAGCGCGCGCTCCCCCGGCAGATGCACCCCGCCCGGGCCGCCCGCACCGACCTGCCCAAGGACAGACGCGCTCTCCAAGGCGCGGACGCCAAGTGCGCGGGAACGGACACAGGCCGGCGGTCAGTGTCACAGACGAGGCCTCTGCGTGGCGGCGGTGGGCACATTTCCATCAGGCTCGGAGGCAGGGTCCCCCAGGACAAGAAAATAGCACCCCAGCCGCTGCACGCGAGCCTTCTCCCAGCCTCCCTACACCCTGCGTGTGCGGAGGGATCTGCACCCCGCCTGCCCCGGGAGCCTGCGGGCGGACTTTCCGGGGCCTCTGGATTCGGGAGGGACAGGGGCCTCCTGTGAGCAGACCCCCTCTGCGAGCGAGCCCCGGGGAGCAGGTGTGCCCTCAGCTCCCTGAAGACGGAGCTAAACAAAATATTGCTTTTGTTAAGGGCTTTCTCCACCAGGAGGCCTGCAGCTCCAGGAGACTTTGACCTCCCAGCCCTCCTGCCTGCGTTTGGCTGTCGGCTCTTATTTTTAGTAAAAGTATAAAAAGAATCTCGAAGTTTTAGCTCAGGAGGGAGAGGACTGTCCTCGGACACCCTGAAAAGCCACAAAGCCAAGCTAGCTTCAGTCTGGGGAGCACAGCCCGTGGGCGTGGTTTTACAAGTGAAAGTTGAGGTGGTTGCTTTGTGGTTATTTTCCTAAACAGGGCAGCAGAGGGGAATGCAGTGGGGAACACACTTTAGGTTCAAGCACCCTCCTGGACAGAGCTTCAGCCACGTACTTCTAGACAAGAATGCAGATTTTAATGCCATCAGTAATAATGTTGGCTACACTCACCTCAGGAAAAGACATTATCAAAAAGATATTTTTTTCTACCCTTAATGTGTGCCTGGCACTGTGTAAGAACTTCAGAATCCCTTTGGGCCTAAAGTTCTTTACAAAAAATAAATAAATAAATAAATGAAAGAAAAGAAAAAAGAACTTAAATAAAATCTATGACAGGGGTTCTTCCCCCCTACCGTTGGGGGGGATGTGATACTGATGACTGTTCCTGCTCCAACTGTGACTTCTGTTTTGCAAAATTAACAAAGAAAATCCAGGCTGAATAAATCAACACCCAGGTTCAGAAGTTCAGAGCATTTGTCTGGGGAGCAAAGTCTTCCCCTGAGCTCTGAGGCATTCAAAGGGGGCTCTGGGTGTTAATGGGATTGTTAAAGATATACCTGGGACCAGATAAATATTTGATGATTTCACAGGGCACTAGGGTTCCTTGGCAGTTTTTCTTCTGCTGACACATTTTCCCCCATGGGGCCTGGACCTTGTGGCTTCATTAGACTTTGCAAATGAAGGAAGGTGGGGGTTTTCCAAGAGAGCGCTGGCCTGGAGCAGCTTTGCTGGAAGCGGCAGACCAGGGTTTACAAAGAGGGGTGTGTGTGCGTGCATGCATGCATGTGTGTCTGCATTCGTGATGGGGGTGGGGGTGCACGGGGGAGGGAAGGAGGGAGATGTGGGTTACAAAGCTGCCATCTAGAGGCGCCTTTCTGCAGTGTATATAATGCAAGTCCGCAGCCCAGAGCTCACAGTTGCTCCAAACTGCTCAGCCCGAAGGCAGGGAGCGCAGGAGCCGGGGAGGCGAGCCCTAAGCCAGAGCCCAGCCGGGAGGTAAGCAAACTGCTCCTCTCCAGCCCTGGTGGGAAGGAGGGGAGGCGCAGGCAGGGTTTCTGCTCCTAAGTGGAGTGATCTTTGTCGGACGCTTCTTTCTCTTCGCCCCATGGGTGCGAGCGAGCGAGCAGGTCAGCTTGCTGAGCCCGGCTGCTGTCGCCTGGTTGCGTTGCAAAGCGCGCCTGCTCCCACGGGGAGGGGGCACCCTTCCCTGCAGAGGGGAAGAGGGGCAGTTTTCTTAGGTCACTTGTGGAAGGACCTTTCAATGTGTTCGTGGGATGTGGGACTCTGGTGTTGATTTACCGCTGCGGGTATTTAAGCAGCAGGACGCAGAGGACTTGGAAAGAGTGCAGACTGCTCATTCTGCTCCTCGAAGTGGGCACCGGGGTCAGCTTGGCACCCTGCTTACCTGTTTCACTGCGGTATGTCACCCGTGAAGCAGACTCCGTGGTCCTCACGCGGCCCCAGGAGGACGTACACTTGACTCGGGCACCCTCGCGTGAGGCAGAGAAGAGCTGAGCGTCTCCGTGGATCGGAGCGTCTCCCTTCAGTGCCGTGGGAGGTCCCCGAGCCTGGGCCAGGGAGCCTGGAAGCTGGATGTAGATCGCATCCTTGCACATCCAACTGGAGTATTTCTTGCTCTCTCAGAAGGCGTGTAGTCCAACTTCGGTTGGAGAAAAGAGGCACGAGTCTAGAATTTTGTCATTTAAATACACTTCTCCTGTGAAACGTAAATTGTGCTCAGTTTTGTCAGCATGCTCAGATATTCAGGAGGTGCTGGGAGGAAGAACTCTGGAGGAAGGGCAGAGATGGGTGGTTCCCCATGACGTGTAATTTCCAGACAGAATGAGAAGCTGTAAAAGTCAGACTGGCTGTCTCTCTTTTTCTTTCTTTCTTTCTTTCTTTCTTTCTTTCTTTCTTTCTTTCTTTCTTTCTTTCTCTCTCCCTCTCTCTCTCTCTCTCTCTCTCTCTCTCTCTCTCTCTCTCTCTTCATTCACTCACAACAGATTGATTACATTTTCCAGAAGTGGAAGGTGCCACCCCCCATGGTTTACAGCCCTTTGAAGGTACTTGGTGCAGTGACATTACCTGAAACTGCATTCTGCAAAGTCTCAATGTGATAACTCTTTCCTCTGGTTTTAAACCCAGATGCTGCCTTTGTGTGCTTGTCTTGATGCCAGGAAAAGGCGAGATCAAATAGGCTTGCCTAGGAAAGAAAGCAGAGGCCACAAAGTCTCCGTAGTTTCAGTGGGTGTAGTACTGGCTGGGCTTTCACTAGGACGGGCTCCCCCAGATGCGCGGGCTACCCCCCCCAATGCACGGGATCCCCCCCCATGCACGGGCTCCCCCCCATGCACGGTGATGCACGGTGCACGGGGGAGCTCCAGCTTGGAAACAGTGTGCTCTCTCCCCGTCTCTGCTGTAAAATCTCCCAGGTACACACAGCTGCTAAGGTTGAGGCCACAGCCTCCTGGGGGTGGGGGAAAGGGAGTTGCACACGTGGGAAAGCAAAAGAAACATTGGGAATGCAGGTGGAAAGGCAAAAGGAAAACTGGAAAGTGCCTGAGTTTTGTGGCCCATCTGACTTTTTTTTTTTTTTTAAAGGGGCATGCGTCACAATCTAGTTGAAAGAAAATTCTGGAAAGTGTAGCCAAGGCAGCCTGCCTGCGCTTTCGCGGGAGTCGGGGCTTTGGAGGTGAGGTGTCCCCTTCAGCGGCAGGTCCCGAGAGAAACGAGAAGGTATTACAGTTCCTAATCAGGCCCAGAACAGGCCAAGTATAGACTTTCTGAATCGAAGGGAAAAAAAACCCCACAAAAAACAAACAAAAAAACCTATTTACGCAGGAACAGTGGCTTTTTGTGCAGTCGGTCTAGGTGGCGAGGCCCCTGTTCTGCAGGACACACCGGGGGAGTGGGCGAGTTACCCGAACCCCAAGAGTGGCCGGGTGGAAGGAAACAGCCTCAGCCATCTCAGCAGTTTTCCCAGGGATCCTGCAGCACATCAATGAAACTGGGGGCTGGAAAGTATTTGCACTTTTAAAACCTGGCAACCAGGGAACTTAGTTTTGCTCCAGGGAACAAAAGTGGGGCAGGTACCTTTAGAAACACTGTTTTTAAAGTCCAGGAAACTATAGCTCCAGGAGACGTCTTAGCTCTTAAAATAAAGGCGAGGAAAAATAAATAAATAAATAAAAGCGGGGGGGGGAAGGGTGGGTCTCTAGTCTGGACTCCCTGATGACTCTGCAGGGGTATGAGATGCTTTTTGTTACCTAAGAACCCACCACTTTAGGAATTTAGAAATTTAGAATTGGGGGGTGGAGCCCCTTATTGCTTTGCTATTGAAGCGATGGGGGAATTTGCGTAATTGCCTAGTGAACATGTCGCTGAGCCCCCAGTAGGTTTGGAAGCTGACCCCCGTGTTGTTCAAGTGCCCCGAGGGGGGAGAGGCTGCCACCCGCCTCAGGGGGCCTTGACTGCTGTTGGCTGAGGGCAGATGCGGAGCGGGGGCAGCGTGGGGACAGTGCACACGGGGTCGGTCAGCCAGAGCGTCCGGCTCTCTCCGGCTCCGGAGACCTCTGCGGGCTCTTCTGAGTCTGAGCAAGAGGCAGAGTGCGCGCTGTCCTGGGAGCCCACTGTGTGCAGAGCCCTGAGCGGCTCGGCCTGGCTGACCCCCCGCTGCCTGCAGTCCTGGTCCTGAGCTGGGTGGGAACTGGGGCTCTGGTCACACTCGGCCAACCCAGGCGGCAGCTCGGGACTCGGGGCCTCTGGACCTGCCCTGCTGGGCCGACAGCACTTCCGGGGGGCAGCCGAGCACACCAGGCAGCATCGGGTTTCTGGATGTGGCCTTCACTTTATCCTCCAATTCCTAAGTGGACGAGGGGGCCCCTGTGCAGGACCCCAGGCATAGGTGGCTTATGTCTGCATTGGGGTATGGCTTTTTCTTTTTTTCTTTCCCCTTTCTATTATTTTTCAAGTTGTCAAATTATTTTTCCCTCTTAGTTTTCGAGTTCAGAGCAGCTCTTTGCCTGCGTAGACTAGGGTCTCTCGGGGTCCCTCGTGAGCGTGTGGCTAGTCGGCATCTTTTCTGTCTGCTTGGGCCTGGGGACAGGGTGCCACCAGTCTGCTCCGGCCACAGGCCTGCCGGGGCTGAAGGGCCCTGTGCTGCCCAGTAGATTTATGGCAGGATTGGTTACAGAAAGATTCCCAAAAGCAAACAGAAAACCCAAACCTCAGTCCTGTGCAACTGCCGAATGGCTCTCCAGGTGCAGACTCTCGTCCCCGTGACAGGCCCCAGGGGGAGCGGTGGCTTTGCCCGGGGAACGTCCCTGGAGAAGTTGGCAGAGGGACAGCAGGCCTCAGTGTCCAGCTGTGCTGCAGCGAGAGGGGCTGGGCGGGTGACCTCATCTGGGGGCAGCACCGAGCTAATTGCTCCTGGCACTTCTGCCCTGGGAGGACATGGCTGCCACAGCGCACAAAACCGATGGAGAAGGTCCCCTGTCGGCCAGAGGTCCTGACCCGCTCAAAGGGCCAGAGGGCCCCTCGGTGTCCGAGTGGGTGTCGGGACCCTGCCTGTCCCCTGTTCTCTTGTTTGCTCCAATGGAGGCTGGGAGCGCCCCTCTCCCCTAGGTGCCCAGACTCCAGCCGGTGCTGCATCCTGCCGCCTCGTCACCCCCTACAAGCTTATGTGGTCTGTGTCACCCCATCCTGAGAAGCTTTTTTAGCCCCAAAGCCACTCTCTTGCTCAAGACCATTGTGGCTCCTGCAGGGACAGGCCCCCCTGGCCCCTCACCCCTCAAGCCCTGACTCTGCCTCTAGCTCGCCTCGGTGGGGCTTGGCCTCAGCCAGATTGGGTGACCCCGTCCATGGCATGTCGCTGAGCACCTCCCTGCCCCCTCCTTTCTCCCTCACCTCCTGTTCCAGGCGGCACCCACCGCCTCTGCTGCCTTCTCGGCTCGCGGGGCCGGGACCACGCGGGCTGCTGGGCCCCAGGGCAGAGCCCCTCACAGGAGAGGCTCCATAAACATTTGGGGCCTGACCAGGGGTGACGGTATCTCTCAGGGGGATCTCAGAACAGTCTCTTCTGGATGCCCGACTCCAGGGATGGCCTCAGACCTCTGGTCTCTGGGGCTTGATTAACAATTGACTCGTTGACTACTGAGGTGTCGAACACCCACTTCGGGCCAGGCGGCGTGGCTGGCTGTGTGTGCGTGAAGACGGGAGGGGGGTGGGGGCCGAGCAGGCAGGAGAGAGGTAAACCAGGCCAGCACGCAGCATGGGGATTCCCGGCCTGGGGGGGGGGGGGTCGGGAGAAACGGGGTGGGGGGAGCTGGGGGTTCGTCAGGAAGGGTCTTTCTGGTCTGTGATGGGAAATCGCAGACACTGCCCCTGGTGGCGGACCCGTGACGCAGGGGTCGGACGAGGACCCCGTGGAATGTAGGTGACTGGTGGGATGAAACACAGGAAGTGTCAGGAAAGGGGGAACGGATGGAGACCTCGCTGCTTTTTGTTCTCACTCGAGTGTCTGTGGTCCAGAAACGTGGAGCGTGAACCTTCATCTTTTTCTGGAACATTCTTGCCTCTATTAAAATTTACGTAATTATTTTACTTTTCAGTGACCGTTGACATCCGATATTATATGAGTTCCAGGTGTCCAGCCCAGCGGTGAGACGTTTATGTAACGTACGCAGTGATCCCCCGATAAGTCTAGTGACCACCTGGCACCGTGCACGGTTGTTGAATATTATTGACTGTATTCCCTGTGCTGCACTTGACATCCTCGCGGCTAGTTCGTAGCTGCCAATTTATACTTCTTAATTAAAATTTGCATAATTCTTGATATCAAATTTCAAATACTGTGGAAGTTGACGGAGTCAAAACTGCAATCCCCTCCTGTCCCTCACCCCACCCTCCTGGCCCCCATTTTACATGACATTTGATCTCTCTCTGTGCCTTTCGCTCGTTCTTTTCCATACAGAAACACGTCACCTTTGCCCTTTCCTACGCGGGACACGGCTCTGTGTGTGCGCCCGCCCGCTGCTTCCCGGGACCGGCGGTCCACTGCCCGCGCTCAGAGTCCCCTCCTCGGCTGTCACAGCTGAGTGTATTCCCCACAGTGATGCGCCCAGTTTATGGAGCCGTTTCCCTGTGGATGGACACTTAGGACCAGTTTTTCGCTGGCGTATAATCTGTGCTACAGTAAACATTCCTACCTGTACACTTGGGAGCACGCCACCCATTCGAGGGGGGTGTGAGCAGTGAAGTCAGACCTGGAGAACCCTTTCATTCTGTGCCCCATTTCCCTCCTGTCAGGAACCCTTTATGCCTGGCAACCCCAGTGTCTGCGGTGGGGCTCGTGCCCCGGCCCGCCCTGCTGTGGGCTCCGAGCCACAAGGTGGCAGGCAGTGGGCAGCTTTGATTGACACCATGTAGTTACTCCTAAGCGTCAGCCCCAAGAATGGCCAGTTTGTTCCAGCAGAGGGTGACAGGTTCGAGGGGGGGAAGGGCGTCACCCCCAGGTCCTGGTGGATACCAGCCCCGCCGCTGCCCCCGGCAAAGCAGACCCGTCGCGCTGGCTGCTGCGGGGGGGCTCGCACGTGTGTGCACAGGGCACCCTCAGCTCTGTGTTCTGCACGAGGGCGCCCCCCCTTTGGCTACAGGAGAGCAGGATGCTTGTGGGAGTGCTCAGGGAGTTCAAGTGATTGTGGCAGGGGGTTGTCAGAAGAGGTTCCCTTCCCGCCTCGACCCTCAGAATTTGCTGGTTGCTTGGTGGCCAGGCCTTGGGGAAGCAGGTGCCTGAGTAGACAGTTCATTGTCTGCCACTTCATGCCTTCGTTCATATCGGGCCCTGAGCGCCTCCCTTGCTCAAATCCAAGCTGGTGCCTTAGGCAGAGTCTGCTCTCTGGTGGGGGCCACGCCCGTCAGTGTAATGGCATGACATGGACCTGCCCTGCCCACCCCAGGCCTCTGGACGGACGCACTCCGGTCCGTCTTTGCTGCGAGTACACGCACGTGACCTGGCCGCTGTCTTTGTCAAACCATAGTTCTCTCTGGAAACGCCCCAGTCCCACACTTAATGCATGCTCATTTCCTGGGGCTGTGCACGAGAGGCCGCTGTCTCCTCGTAGGTCTGCCTGTCCACACCCAAGCGAGCGAGGTGTCTCCTTGGGGTGAAGAAAGACATGGGGAACTTGGCATCCACTCAGGCTAACAAGTCTGGGTCCTGTGGTCTGCCCACACCCCAGGACTTAAGGCTGTGGCCGAGGCCCTGCCAGTTGGGGCAGAGAAGGGCCCAGCCAGGGGCTCTCCGGTGCCTGGGCCCGGCCCACCTGTCTGGCTGCCGGGCTGTGGCTTGTCCTCTGACCGAGCTCCTGTGCTCTGTCCATCGGCAGTGGGGACACCGAGGTCTGGGTAGGCACCAGGAGGGGAACCAGTGGCCACTTACGACCAGAATAGGAGAACTCCCACGGGGTTCACGGATGGGTCACCGGCCATGAGTTTTGAGGCCAAGGGGCCAGCTGGTCCCGAGAGGCAGCAGAAGTTCCCATTTCTCAGGAATCTGTCTGTTTATCCTGCAGGTGAACGGATGTGTTAGCTCCTTGTGTTAGCTCCTGCGCGTCCCCCACGGCGGGGACACTTACTGCTTTGCCTGGAAGAGTCAGCTTCAAATGTGCAGCGAGAATTCAGCAGGGGTGTGCTTTTCACTGGGGGGGGGGGGTGAAGTTTTTTTGAGCATTTGCTGCGTGTTAGACTGCAGCAGGGCCTTTAGTTCTTAGGTGCTGGTGTCCCGAGAAGAGCGGACAGACGGGTGAACTAGTCGAAATTAACACTAATGAGTGAGGAGCCAGAATCCCAGCCCGGGGGGGGGGGGTCTGCTCCCCGGGGGTGCTTTTCCCAGCTCTCTTCATACCGTTAGCGTGGCCACCTGGGCACTGACCCACGGACGGACCACGGACCTCCCTCCGCCAGGGAGTTCTTAGGGTGGCCTGGAGGCCACTTTACATGAACTTGGCAAGTGCACTTGACTTGGTCTGTCATTACCTGCGACAGGCAGGAAGGGAGGAGAAGCTCCTGACCCTGCCAGGCCCGCGATGATTTTCACCCTGCACCCGCCACCGTCCTGCCGACCCAGAGCCGTGCGGTGCAGCCTCGCGGGCCCCAGGTGGACAGGTCAGCAGGAGAGACAGCCCCTGGCCGCTCCCTGCTGGTGAATTAGTGGAGAAGTCATTTCCAGGCACAGTGGTGCCTCGGGGCTGGATCCTCCCGGGTGCTGAATGGCGACAGTTCAGAGTGTTGACCTTGCGTCGGGTCAGCAGGGAAGACAGTTGAGAAACCCCTCGGCCCTCCAGGGGCGCAGCAGGTGGTGCCTTTGCGGCTCGGCCCACGGAGCTCCTGAGGCAGTGGGACAGAGGAAAGACGGGAGCCAGGCGCTGGCCCGGCCCTCGAGACGGCTGGTTGGTCGCCCTCGGTCGGGAGTCCCAGGGCAGACCCGGAGTCGGCGGGCTTGGAGCGCGGTCAAGCTGCAGGGTGTCCGCATGCTGAGCACGTTTCCGGTGGTCTGCATGTCTGCAGGCCGAGGCGGCCCGAGGTCCGGGTTTATAGGAAAACTTTGCAGAGAGATAAAAAGCATTAGTCCCATTTTAAGTGCAAATGGGGAGGAGAGCCTGAGTCCATCTCATTAAGATCCCAGAGCAGGACCCGGTGAGGAACAGATCTGTTCTGCCATTTTGGGGGGTGTAGGTTAAATGTCTCCGCTGTCCCCCCACTGAGAGCTAGCGGCCCTTCGGGCCAGCTGCCTGACATTTCTCTGGCCCCTGGACTGTGCTGATTTCACACGCTGGGCACAGCCTGGCTGGCGAGGTCCTGTGAATCCAGCCGTGCAAAGTCAGAGAAGGCGAACTCTGGCTCTCTGAGCGTCACGTGGAGTTAGGTGCTGGGGGTGTTGGATTTCGTCGCGCCGAGTTCTCTTACGGTTGTTCTCTTGGCAAAAACGCTGCAGGGCTCACGCAGAGCAGCCGAGCATGCGGGGCGCTGAAAAGGCGTTCTGACCGAAACCGGAATGTTTTGTAACAGCGATTTTTCTCTTCCGCCCCTTTGGTTCGGTCTCTCGCGCAGGCCACTGGACCGCTGCCCTGGCCGCCATGGATCTGCACCTCTTCGACTACTCGGAGCCCGGGAACTTCTCCGACATCAGCTGGCCGTGTAACAGCAGCGACTGCATCGTGGTCGACACGGTGACGTGCCCCAACATGGCCAACAAGAGCGTGCTGCTCTACACACTGTCCTTCGTCTACATCTTCATCTTTGTGATCGGCATGATCGCCAACTCCGTGGTGGTCTGGGTGAACATCCAGGCCAAGACCACGGGCTACGACACCCACTGCTACATCTTGAACCTGGCCATCGCCGACCTGTGGGTGGTGGTCACCATCCCGGTCTGGGTGGTCAGCCTGGTGCAGCATAACCAGTGGCCCATGGGCGAGCTCACCTGCAAGATCACACACCTCATCTTCTCCATCAACCTCTTTGGCAGCATCTTCTTCCTCACGTGCATGAGCGTGGACCGCTACCTGTCCATCACGTACTTCACCAACACCTCGAGCCACCGGAAGAAGGTGGTCCGCCGTGTCGTCTGCGTCCTGGTGTGGCTGCTGGCCTTCTGCGTGTCCCTGCCCGACACCTACTACCTGAAGACCGTCACGTCCGCGTCCAACAACGAGACCTACTGCCGGTCCTTCTACCCCGAGCACAGCGTCAGGGAGTGGCTGGTCAGCATGGAGCTGGTGTCTGTGGTCTTGGGCTTCGTCATTCCTTTCTGCGTCATCGCCGTCTTCTACTTCCTGCTGGCCCGCGCCCTCTCGGCCTCCGGCGACCAGGAGAAGCACAGCAGCCGGAAGATCATCTTCTCCTACGTGGTGGTCTTCCTCGTGTGCTGGCTGCCCTACCACGTGGTGGTGCTGCTGGACGTCTGCTCCGTCCTGCACTACGTGACGTTCTCCTGCGAGCTGGAGAACTTCCTGTTCACGGCCCTGCACGTCACGCAGTGCCTGTCCCTGGTGCACTGCTGCGTCAACCCCGTCCTCTACAGCTTCATCAGCCGCAACTACCGGTACGAGCTGATGAAGGCCTTCATCTTCAAGTACTCGGCCAAAACGGGCCTCACCAAGCTCATCGACGCCTCCCGGCTGTCGGAAACGGAGTACTCCGCGCTGGAGCAAGGCGCCAAGTGAGGCCGAGCGCCGGGACGCGTGTGCTTGCTTGCGGGGGGCTCCCGGCTGCCTGGTTTCCACGGGCTTCGGGGCTCGAGGGGAAGGCGCGCCACCGTGCCCCCATGCCGGCGTGGCTGCCACGTGGCTGTGGCCCTGACGGTGGGCCACCACGCAGGACTGTGCCACCGGCCGGTGCCGCCAGACCAGACCGGCGGCCGGAGGGGCCTGCCCGCACTTGTGTACAATAGGACTCCCCGTGTTTCCCCTCCAGGTTCTATGGTGACTTGTATTTAAACGCTAAGACTTTATTTTTCTCACTCTGTGTACCTTCTACATGTATTTGGAAAAGTTAAAGCTATTTTTGATGCTGTATGGTCAGTGTGATGCTGACATGTATTCCGTGCTGTTGTTTTACGGTTCGCCTGACGTTGGCTTTGACTGAGGACGACACCGATTCTTAGCTGATGGGAAATTATCTATCATCTGTCTATCTATCTATGCCAGGCTGGGCGGAATGTTTCATTTACCAGCTTTCTATCTGCGTGGCCCGTTGCACCGGCACGGGGTATGCGACCAGACCTGCCCTGTCGCGCGGTTTCTGTAAACTTGCATCGGAACGACAGACAGACAGACGGCGCACCCCTGCCCCAGGCCGCAGCGCTGGGCAGGAGACCGGCAGCGGCGGTCAGAGTTCTCTCCATCTGTCAGTTATTTTTTTAAAATAAAGATCGTGTTCTCTTTCTCCTCAAAAGGCTTCTGAGTCTCAGTTTTAAGAGCACGTTCGGCATTTCGGCGGCACGTATGATGATAACATACAAACACAGGCAGCAGGTACAGGCCAATGTAGAACGACCACGTTGTGAAAGCTCAGACCACTGGGTATAAAAGGAAAAACATCTGAGGGCATGGAGGTGTTTTTGTTTTTTTTTTTAATCCTCACTTGAGGACATTTTTTCATTTTTTATTCAGACAGAGTGGGAGAGGGAGAGAGGAAGAGAGAGAGAGAAACATCGATGTGAAAGGGACACATTGAGTGGCTGCCACCCGCACGACCAACCGGGGCCGGGGACAAACTGCAACCGAGGTACATGCCCTTAGCGGGAACCGAACCCGGGTCTCTCGGGACCGCAGGCCGACGCTCCAACCGCTGAGCTGAACCGGCCAGGGCTGTTTGTTTTAGAAAAGAATTTCATGCTCTGTGTGTGAGGGAAGGGGTGGCAAGGACGCCCAGCAGCCAGGACAAAGTTGGTTCCGGAACGCGGTGCTGGTCTGGGTGAGGCGTGAGGGGAAATGAGTGTATTGTGGGCAGTTTGCACATGAAGGTGCCTTTTCTTTGTCCTTCTGGGAGGCTGACGATGGCCCAGCTTCCAGAACATTCTAGCAGAGTCGACGTGATGCCGCTTCTCTTTTGTTTTCTTGGTTGATTTTAGAAAGAGAGGAAGGGAGAAGGAGAGAGAGATAGAAACATGGATGAGAGAGAACATCGATTGGCCGCCTCCTGCACGCCCCCCACTGGGGATCAGCCCACAACCTGGGCATGTGCCCTGACCAGGAATCGAACCCGTGACCTCTTGGTGCAGGCTTCATGCTTAACCACTGAGCCCCACCAGCCAGGCTAACGCTGCTTCTCCTGCACGCACACACGCTGTGTGGATTCGTTACCCTCCGTGGGGACTCTCACGTCACCTGTGGGACGGCCCTAGCCAGTGTCCTTCTCGAATTCGGGCCGGAGTGAAGGTAGCTGAGGGTGGGGTCCAAAGGGCGTCACCATGACTGTCCTGGGGAAGCTCTGTGAGACCTCAGTTTGCTCGTTCACGAAGTCAGATGGTGCTAGTGCCTTCTTCTCAGGGTCACAGTGATGATCGGATCCCACAGCCTCTGCAGGTGCCCCTGGGGGTGCCCGGACCCACCTGCGGCTCGGGCTGCAGCCGGTCCGTCTGCAGTCTCGGCACGGGCTGCGTTTTCTTTGCAAGAAACAAGGCATTTCAGGGAGGCACAGCGAGGGATGACCGCCGTGGGCTGTGACCGAAGGGTAAGGGACGTCTGCCGCAGACAGAGCTTCTCAAGGGGGTGACTTTGTCCCCGGGGGACATCTGGAAATGTCGAGACATTTGTGGTTGTCTCCACTCGGGGTGGGTGCTGTGGCATCTAGGGGGAGAGGCCAGGGATGCTGCTGGACATGCTGCAGCCCAGGACGGCCCACGGCAAGGACATCCTTGGCCCCAAATGTCAGCAGAGTGGAGGTTGGGAGACCCTGCTCTAGGATAAAGCAACCATTTCAATTAAAAAACGTTGTGTTTTTTTTTTGTTTGTTTGTTTTTTTTTTACTGATTTTAGAGAGAGGAAGGGAAAAGGAGAGAGAGAGAGACACATCGATGAGAGAGAACATCGATTGGCCGCCTCCTGCATGCCCCCCACTGGGGATTGGGCCCACAAGCTGGGCATGTGCCCTGACCGGGAATCGAACCGGCGACCTCTTGGTGCAGGGTCAACGCTCAGCCACTGAGCCCCACCGGCTGGGCAGGATAAAGCACCATTTAGACAGAATTCTGGACACTACTCATCACCTCTGCTGTCTGCTCTGAGCAGGGAACTTTGACAGTCTCGGGGCTGGGGGTACACCCTAGGGGGTGCCGAGTGCCCTCAGTTCCACATTTTTTGCCCCTAACCTCTGCAGAAATGACAGGAAAGGGTAAGATGAGCCTGCGGTGTGCAGAGGACGCCTCTGCCGACATCCTCGTGCCTGAGCATCTCAGTTGCACGAAGTGGGTTCATTAACAGTTGACGCGAGAGGCGGGCTCATGGCAGAGGTGTCGCGGATACAACAGCAGCCTCATTGCAAGTGTGCGGGGAGGGCTCAGGTTTCAATGTAACATTTGCAACATGCACCTTAAAAGTCCCCAGAAAGGGCCCAGCCGGTGAGGCTCAGTGGGTGAGTGTCGACTCATGGACCAGGCCGCCGGTCTGATTCCCGGTCAGGGCACATGCCCAGGTTGTGGGCTGATCCCCAGTGGGGGGCGTGCAGGAGGCGGCCAGTCAGTGTTCTCTCTCATCGATGTTTCTGTCTCTCTCTCCCTCTCCCTTCCTCTCTCAAATCAATAAAGAAAAAAAAAAAAGTCCCAGAAAGAGCATGGTCCGTGCCAGGGTGACATCGGAAGCCCGGGCTGACATTCCCTCTTCTCAGTAGCTCAGCGACCTTGGCCACATTTCGCCTGAGCCTCCGCTGGCTCATCCTTTCAGTGACGTCCCCACCGCCACGAAAAGGCGCCCGTGGAGGTCATGGGGAGCATGGCTGCCAGCAGACACTGCGGAATGGACACAGGAAGACACATAGGAGTGACCAGAAACCCGCAGGCCACGCAGAGGCCCTGAGGGCGTCCAAGCTCTTTGCGTGTTTCACGTCATGCTGCCCAGTGCCGGACGCACAGGCTGCCCGGGATGGCACACAGGGCACCTCGTGCTGGAGGCTGGTCAAAGCCAAGGTTGGGTACGTCCGCCGGTGCGCTGTGTGGGTCACCGTGTACGTGGTCTCTGAGTTTCCCAGGGACTGAGATGCACACCGTGGGCGGGGGACGGGCGCTCCTTGCAAGGAAGGGGCATGGTTGTCTGTGGGGTATGTGGGGAGGGATGGGTAATTTGGGAGTTTTCCTTACTTTCAAAAGCTTCCTTTTTGTCGCCTTTTCATATGCTTATGCCCTCAGCCCTTTCCATGGGGGATTCAGAACGGTTGCCAATCATGTCCTGTCTCCCGCCCGGGCGGGGGCGGGGGCGGGGGGCGGCCGCACCAGCCATTTGTCACACTGCAGTGCTCAGCAGCAGCCGGACGGGGAAATCGGAATTTCCATAGTTATTTGTGGAACTAACCTGATTAAAATCATTTCCTAGGTAGGTCGGAATCTTCCCTTTGCACCGGAGGGAGCCATGGCGGCCGAGGTATTAAATCTGCTTGGGTGACTCGGAATGTGCGTTGGCCCGGCAACGTGTCCTGGGCGCGCCGCACACTTCAGTGGCCGCGGCCTGTGGGAAAGGGCCTGGGACTCCGCGGCACCTGCGGGACCGGCGTCCTCACAGCCTTTCCCACGCCCGCGGCTCGGCCCGGCTCTCCTTCCTTTTGCAGAGCGGCGGCCAACGGCGGGGACGCGTCCAGGCCTCCCCACGGCCGCCTGTCTCGGGGCCCTGGTGACAAGTGCGGATTGTGTTCTGTGTGGCCCCGTCAAGAGAATTTGAATTTCGTGGGGAGCCCGGAATGTCAATGGAAATCCGCCCAGCTGTGCAGCCCATGAATGTCTCTCTCGGCGGCTTTTTCCGCACGCGCTCCCGTCCGTCTATTCACCCACCCGGGCCTTTGTCGTCCCGTCACCAGCCCGACAAGCTGTCTTCAGTGCCCACTGTGTGCCAGGCAGCGTGCTTGTCTGTCCAAATCGCCGGCGGGGGCTCCCAGCCCGGAGGGAGACGGACAGGGAGGCGGAGAGAAACCCCGGTGGTGTTTTCTGGAAACGCCCAGCGCACAGAGGCAGGATGGCCTCAGAGGAGGGCGCAGGAGGCTGACAAAGAAGGGCCCTTCCCTCCTGGCCTGAGGACAGCCAGGACCCGGGAGCAGCCCCAGGGACACAGTGTGGGTGGAGGCCCAGGACAGCTCCTCCGAGGCCGTCGGTCTCGCGAGCAGACGCTTTAAGGAAACTCGAAGGCGCCTGAGCGGCGTCCGGGAGGCAATGAGCACGCGGTCGTTAATCACTGTGTGGTGGGGGGCATCATTCTGGGTGGGAGCTGGAGGTCATAAAGGTGGCCCCCATCCTGAGGACAGCGATGAGGCTCGGGGACAAGGACGTTGGGGGGGAGGGGGGGTGGCACTCAGCTCTCCCAGGCTGTAGCATGTTCTGCTGCACCTGTGCTTCCAAAGGGCTGTGCTTTCTCCTGAGCGCCCCTCCTTGTCCTGCTCGGCGGCGCCTGCTACGGGCTGACTTGCTGGGCGTGTGCAGATGTTCACGGAGCAGCGGAGGGAAACCAAGGGACCTGACGTCTTTGATCACATTTATCATTAAAATCCCAGCTCTGGAAATCACGTCTCTCTCTCGCCCCCCCGGAGACCTAGCCGCTCCCGCATAACCAGCCACCCCGAGGCCGCAGGAGACAGCAGCCCGGACCTGACTACTGGTCCCAGGTCAGGACCTCCGCAGGCCAAGGATCACGTCTGGACTCGGTGCCGTTTCAGCGCCTGCGCCCTCAGGCGGACGACACCCTGGCTACTTTCCCACGAAACCAGACAGAGGAGCCCGGGGTCAGACCTCAGAGCTGCCCTCCGACCTGAGGAAGGATCCACCACCCACCTGGCCTCCGGCAGGCAGCTCCCTGCTCCACCCCGAACCCCTAACTCCGGTGCCTGTGATCCTGCCCTGGACACGCGGTGCCCTGCTCGCCACGGGGGCTCGGCCTTCGGAGCACCAGCGTCCCGGCTCCTGGGCGGCCCCAGCCCGAGAACGCGGCCGGCGTCTCTCCGCTGCCCGGGGCCAGTGCTCGGCCTGCAGCGCCGGGGGCGGCCCTCTCTGCTCGGTAAGTCACAGGAGAGCCCGCATTTGAGATGCTGGGCCCTCACGGCCTCACCCAGCCAGCCGAGACCCAGCCTTTCCACGGCGCCCTCTCCTCCACCACCCGCAGGGGCCTCGAACCCTCTACATGCAAACTGGGGGAGCCCGTGCCTGCGGCTCCATCTCCCCACAGGTCAGGCTTAGGCTTC